ACTTTAGTGTATGATTTGTCTAAAATAAATAAAATTAAATATCAAGGTTTAATATTTCTGTTCTATGTATACTAAATTAGTTTCTAACAATATTTATCATTTCCAGTCAATTTCATTTTGTGTTTTACAAGATTTTTTGTTTAGTTTGTGTTTATAATCTTTTTTCTATGGATAAATAAAATTTAATAATATACCTAAAATATGATATAAACATTTTCTTACACTTAATTCTCTGCCCACATTGTGATGTGGATAATTTTGTTGTCAACCATAGCGTTAATTACAGAAGGCGACTTATGCTATATTTTTTAAAATATAAAATTGACTGAGAATTATAAATATTGTTGAAACTAATCTAGGATACTCAGAACAGAAATATTAAACTTTGAGCTATTCAATTTTATTTATTTTAGACAAATTATCCACTAAAGTCTCGAATCATGTATGAATAATAACTTGCAAAATAAAAAATTTTCAAAGGTGTAGTAGATACTTACTAAGCATTTACATTCACCAACATATTATTTATTTCATTTAATACGAATTTCTAACAAATTTGGTCACTCGCACTACACTGCTCTGGATTAATAAGCAGTCTTGAGTGTGCACCAAAGTAACAGAGCAATGTAGTGCGAGTGACCAAATTTGTTAGACCGAATTCATTATTATTACTTTTTTATAACACTTTCTGATCTGAAAGGTTATGTAAAAATGTCAAATCGTAAGCGCGCGCCGCGCGGCTTCTCAGCGCCATCAGCGCATCTAACGTCAGAAATCGGAAACTGGACATTTTAGCTGGACATCCTAGAAAAACGACAATTATTTCAACATTTCGACTTTGGATTATTATAACTTTTTTCTACAGCACCTACAGTAAAAACAAGCATACTATTCTTATGTAATTTGGGTATGCGCTATCGATTGAGCCTATTATCAATTCAATCAGTCCAACCGTTATTGAGATCCGATAATCTCGGCTCGTCTCAACTTTCGGGCTCGCGTAAAGAGACACGGTCGGTCTTGCGCTTGCGTTGCGCGCTGCGCGTGAACTTGGCGCGAGACACTACCGTGTCTCTTGATACGACAATTTTTTTGAAAAGTAAAACAATACTGTTTTGTTTTAGTTATGACAAGAGCGTGTACTTGGCGCCTTTTTTTACCTTTTTTTAAAAAAGTGAAATTATTTACCTCAAAACGCTTCTTCATTAATTACATCCGCAACTTTCTCGTTTACTAAGATCGTCAGGTGACTATCCTCGACGTGATGTACTACAACTTTGTTTTCAGTTATCTTAAACGTAAAAAATTTTATTAATAAAAAATATTGTAAAATTTGATATATTAAATACTGATAAAACGTTTTCTCAAAATACCTTATACAAGCCATAATCCTCTTCGAGTTCAGGTGCATATGACAACGTAGATTTTAACAACGTTATGGATGATTTAATACGCGGTAATGTAGAAAAATCATATTGCCGAATAGCCAGTATATTTTTATAAATTGTTGCATACAGTGTTTGCAAATTTGAGCGTGACAGAAGTGAATTTACTTTTGAAAAGTATTTGGCGAATATTTCAAATCTTTTTTCCAAAGTTTCACATTTTTTTAATTCCAATAAAACCTGTCAAATTATACGTTTTACTTTTAAAATCAACTTATTATAAAATGAGAAATATTTACAGTATAAAACTGACAGTAAGAAATGAGTCATTCACAAAATATCCGCAATCAAAAATGTATTAATTTAATTAAATTAAAAAATATAAGTAATGGTGTTATACCTCTTCACTGATTTTTGTTTCATAAATATTTAGAATAATGATCATAATATTAATCTGAATTTCTTCATCGCTCATATAGAAAAACTTATTGAGATCACTATTCATTACATATTCCGGAGCTCCATCGATGAGAACTAATCGACTTTTAGTACCCGTAGCCTCCACTCTTCTTATTAGTTCAATTGCAAGAATAGAACCGAAAGAATATCCTGTTATTACGACTTTCTTTTCGTCTCTTAATCGTGATGATATGCACTGAAGAAATAAAAGTAAATTTATATAGTAACTTTTGCATCTGTGAGCTAAATACCATTTTCTATTCCAAAATCATATGACAATATAAAAAGTTTAATAGTAACAAATATAATTGTCAAGACACCATGCTGCTCGGATAGCACTGTAAAAATCCAATTTCCGATAATAATATTGTTATGGATAAATATGGTATAAAACTGTCGTCGCGTCTATAGAAAAATTTAATAATTATAAAAACAAGAAAATAGAACAAAAAAAATAAAAATTTTGAAAAAATAAAATAAAAAATGTAAATTTTAAGGAATCTAAACGCATAGTTAGGCAAAGCATTAAATAAAATTTTGAAATAGAAACGATACAAATTATTACTAACTGTAATTATATACTTTAGAAAGACGATTAATTACAATTACATACCATTAAGAGATAATCAGCCATCTCAGATAAAGTGTTTGCAATACCGATATTGCCATATTGCAAGGATGTTGCCGAAAATTTAATTCTTGACGCTAAATGATTAAATATTGTTCCGCAGCCATCAAGTCCTGGTACAAGAAATACATAGGTTGAATTATCCACTGTGTTGGTCGGAAGATCTAAACAAATTTCTGAAACAAAATCTTGATTTCTCAAGACACCAAATAACAATTTCTGTTGTTTCGTAAGATCTATTATATTTATATCAGTTGCCGCTTCAGTTTGTGTCTCGTTGCTATTAACGTTTGCATTAGACATTTGACTCAATTTTGCAAATGTGAGGCTTCGTAGTTCTTGTGGGGTGAGCAAGATATCAACTTTTCGTTCCAATGTTTGTCTGATTTCCATAGTCATCATGGAATCCATTCCAAGTTCAGCCAAAGATGTATTTTGACTTATTACTTTTATATTTTTTATATCTGCAATACAAAATTTATAAAAACATTATGACTTATTATATTATACCAAAAAAAGTTTAATAACATATTGTACATGAAAGTGTGCGTATATATGTTTGTGTACGCATTTGTGCGTGCAACAATGACTTTTGGGATGTTGTGATATCGAAGTAAATAATGCATGCAAAAATTATTACGTTCTAAGTAGGCTATAACAGAAAGAAATCTATTTATAAATTCTTACTCATTATATCAGCAACGATTTCCATTATGTTCTCTGATCCCGATAATCCCGTTTTCTTTTCACTTACAATCATGCTGCTTACGATCGGTCGGTTCTGGAGCAAAAATTTCTCGAATTCTACAAGGCAGGAAGATATTTTCTGCTGCAGAGTCCCGCCGATAACTAACTCTTTATTGTCTTCCTGCATGTCAGCGATGAGACCTACGTCACCCACAGCTCCCCCATTGAATTGCCAATCCGGGTAGTCCTTCCTCCGCTCTTTTTTCGCACACTCTTTCCATGATGGAATTGGCCATTCCATAATTGGTTTGCCCAGCGTTCCCTTTTCCGCAAGAAACGGAAGAAAACACTACAAAATGTCGAAGTTTTAAACAGATCTTTCTAGATGCTTTATCTAATGTCTGTGTCGTCCAGGCCTTCGACATGAAAGATTCCGTGAAAGTTTCCATGGTTTGGTTCCTAAGTAGACAATCTTTCAAAACCACAGCAAGATTAAATATCGCATCTACTGATGCTTGATTTTCCGCCATTTGTAGAAAATGTTCACATTCTTCGGGATTAGCAAGATTTACGTCTTTAACTATCTGCACGTTTACACCGTACGATTTCCATAACTCAACCCTCATTCGCTGATAGCTATTCTTTATTCCAGTTCTCGAAGTTAGTACGACATTCTTAGCGCCTCTAAGTATCAGCCAGTCAGTTAACTCTAAACCAAATCCACCCAAGCCGCCTAGTATAACGTAAGTTCTATCGCTTTGGCAGTAATAACGACGGTGTGCAACAACTGGTGAATCGAAAGATTTACCATCCTCATGTATGTTTAAAATAATCTATAAACATATCATTGTATTAAAAATATGAAACTTATTACGTGTTACGCACAATTTTTTAATAATAATTTATAAGACATGTTTAATTGTTGCAAACGTACTTTCCCCATGTGTTTACCGCTTGCCATGTATCTAAAAGCTGCTTCAATTTCCGTCTTAGGAAAAACTGTCATCTGAATAGGTTTAATATTTTCATTTTTTAAACCATCAGCCATTAACTTGGATAACTGAGATTTATTTTTATGATTACTGGTAAGCATTGTATCCAAAAGAACAGAATAAAAACTGATACCTTTTTGAAATAAAAACATGTTTAGGAGATTGTTGGACAAAATATCAAACCTTCCAATCTCTAGAAAACGACCCCTTTTTGCCAAACAGCGAACAGACGCTATAAGTTTTTCTTCCGCCAAAGAGTTTAATACAATATCAACGCCGCGACCATTTGTTTGTCGCATTATCATTTGTTCGAAACTCGTGTCACGCGAATTTCCAATATGCTTATCGGGAATAGCCGGAAACAGTTTTCTGATGAATTTACGTTTTTCTGCAGTGCTCACGGTAGTAAACACTTGACATCCTTCCTGAAGAGCGAGATGAATGGCTGATTGTCCAATGCCACCAGTGCCAGAGTGGATAAGTACTTTATCATTCTTCTTCATTTTTCCAAAATGATATAAAGCATAATAATTTGTGGTGTAAATACACGGCACTGTAGCTGCCTCCTCAAATGTCCATGAATCGGGTATATTCCAACATAAATCTTTATCTTGTACAACGACATTTGCTATGCACCTAAGAACATAACAACATTATTATTATTAAATAAATTAAATTAATGATTGAGTTATTATAAAATAACAATCTCTTATAATAGAAACAAAATAACAGTTTTATCGGTTTATTTAAAGAAAATTGTGTAAATCATATAAGACTGTAACACCAAATTTGTTACTCACAAATTGTGCAATGCCATATTCTTGAGCGAATTCTGAGACAATTTTTTTTTTTACAAAATTTTGTCCGAAGCTTAGTTTTCGAGTTATTATTGAAAATAGTTTATTACTTACGAGTCCGATAGAACGGACAGGCAGGGATGGTGCTATGCATCATGAGACGATAGTAAACTTGACAGTCTCATTAAACATTGCGCGCCCCTGCCTGCCCGTTGTACCGAACTCGTAAGTTGTTACATATTTTCAATTATAACTCGAAAACTAAGTTTTGGACAAAATTTTGTAAAAGGAAAAATCGTCTCAGAATTCGCTCAAGAATATGGCATTGCAAGGACATCAAGTTATTTGAATCATCCTGTA